GCATCTGCAGGATAAAATAGATAGATAAGGAGATAGACAGACAGATAGACAAACAACGCATTCCCACCTAACCCCCGGGTAACCCTCCCCATACACACACACACACACGCACGCACACCGGCACCGGCACCGGCACCGTCCCCAGCGGCGAGCACTCTGCTGGTCCCCGACCCCTCGCGGGCAGGAAAACCCCAAACCCATCTCCCCCCACCCCACCCCACCCCACCCCACTCCACCCCACCCCACCACACACCAGCTGCTCCTCCGGCTGTGTCCTGCGTGCCCAGTTCCATTTGCCGTACTGCCTGCAGTACGTCGCCACATCCCTCCACCCCGCCGACATGGTCACGAAGAAGGATATGCACGCTGCCCGCTGCTGCACCGCAATGTACCCCCGGTCGGGATCAGGCAGGGCGGACAGCTCGTCCTTGAAGTCCCAGGCGTTGGCCAGGTAGGCGGCCTGGTCACTGAGGAGGCGCGGGGGGGGGGAAAAGGGTATTGGGTGTGTCGTACAGTTGTGGGGGAGCATGAGTCGGGAATCATATGATGCAAGGGGAAACAAGACGCAGTGAACTGCCTGCCTGCCGGAAGGCGTCCAAAGTCCGGAACTGCCCCTAAGAGTTGGGTCCTAAGCGATGAAGCCATACACAAAAACAGCCATACAGACAGCCATACAGACAGACAAACCGCCACACATCCCCCTCACTCACTCCTCCGCGAGCCCTAGGTGCTTCCTGCGTCGTTCCGCCATGTCGGGCTCGCTTCGGTCCTCGTGCGCGAGCCACTGGTCCCACTCCGTCTGCTCCCGTGGCATCCATGTGGCGGGGGGCGCGGGGTCCATGCCCACCAGCAGGCTGTGCAGGTAGGGCTGCGGGGCCAGGGCCTTACCCAGCTGACGGATGGCAGTGGGGCCTAGAGCCACTGGTGCGAGCGTTACTCTCCGCAACAGAAAGGACGAGCTGGCACGCTGGGGATCAGAATGGGAGGAGGGAGGGGGAGGGGAAGGGAGGGGGAGGGGAAGGGGAGGGGAAGGGGAGGGGAAGGGGAGGGGAAGGGGCGTGTGTGTGTATGTAAATGCGCAGGGGTGTTGTGGGAGGAGGGTGGGCGGGGGACCGAAAAGAGAAAGAGAGAGAGTTGGGAGCGAGGGGAGCGAGCTGAGAAGACAGGACGCAGCTGATGTGCAGGGGGGTCAGAGGGACGTGTTTTTCCTTCCCCCCCCAGCCCCGTTTTTTCCCCCTCCTCAATAATCCAATCGAGGCCACCGAGGCAAAGTACGGCAAGGTACGGCAAGGTACAGGTGGCGCCGCATGCTATCTATTCGTCAACCTATCCGTCAACCTGCTCACCGCCAGTGCCGACGCGGGGAATGACTCCATGTACAGCAGGTCGCCGGGTCGTACATGCAGGTGCCGCAGGTTGCCGCAACCCAGGCCCATGGCGAACAGCTCCGCGTTCAGTTTGGCGGTGGCAGCGGAGTCACCGCTGCTGGGTGCCGTACACTTGACAATCTGGAGGGGAAGGGGAGGGACGAGGGAGGGGGAGGGGGTTTGGGGGGTTTTGGGGGGTACAGCCGCAACGGTGGCTGTGGTGGTGGCTATGGAGGTGGTGGTGGTGGTGGTGGTGGTGGTGGTTGCTGTATGATGCGATGGAAGGGGAGGAGATGGCTGCCGGGGTGGGGGGTGGGGTGGAGGAAGACGAACCACGGGCGAGTGAAGCTGCTGCCAAGGAAAGACTGATGCGCCAGAAGTAAGGGAGGCATTAGGGGGCGGGGGGGAGGGGAGGGACTCTAAGCGCGGTCGCTCCGGTGCGGCCGCGTGTGTGTCCATGTGCGGCGTGTCGTGTCCATGTCGTCGTGTCCGGGTTATCTTCTCCGTGGGGATGGGGACCAGAGGTGATGATAGAGCCACTATAACGACTTTCCACGGCACCGCGGACGATAGTACAACGTCGTACATCTGCACGACATGTCGAGAAGCCGGCCGGAAAGAGGGGAAGAAAAGGGGGACACTGCACCTACTTTAACAACCAATAACCAACCGCCGAACCTCAACCGCCAACCGCACCTGCAATGCCTCCAACGTCCTCGTGGCTTGCAATGCCGAGTTGAGCATCTGGGGGAAGGAAGGCGTACACACACATACAGACGCACATGGGGGTGGTGAGGGGGTTGGAGAACCGGAGTGGGTTTGGGGTGCAGTAGCACTTGTCGCTGCCCGTCCTAGGGCCCGGAACGCGTCTCCCCCCCACCCCACCCGACCCCACCCCACCCCACTCCACTCCACCCCACCCTGGGAGAGCTGAGCCATCCGAGCATGCTCTGCCCGCAAACCCCAAACTTCCCTCTCCCACCTTATCCCCATCCCCCCCAACCCCCGATCCCCCCACCCACCTGTAAGTCCTGCGGCCCCAACACCGCCTGATGCAAACATAACATCTTGAGCGTCCTGCTCGCACCCA